ATTAATGGATTTTTATTATCAATTACTGATATTACTAATAATACACTAACAAGTACTGCTAGTGTCAATATGTCTACTACATCACAACTTAATGGAACTATTATTAGCTGCTCTGGAGATGGAGTTCATTTCAGTAGTACACTAACTGTACATATTGCAGGTAAGATACATCATGAACCATATGTATCATAATACTGTATCTATGTATAGGTGTACCAGTATCAGTTAGTAATATAAAGATAATACCAATTAATAACAATACAGTATTGATGAACTGGTACTATGAAAAGAATGATGAAGTACACTATATTCAATATTATAATACTACAATAATCAGTGATGATAATATTAATGGACATATCATCAGTAGTGAATCATCAGCAACTATTCCTTCTCTTATTATTGGTACTAATTATTCATTTATTATTATTTCTATTGATACTATTGGAAGAGAAGGACCTCCTTCATCATTAATACAGTATATATGGAATGGTAAGTACTATACACACACACACACGCACACACACACACACTCATTGTATTTCTTATAGTACCAGCTCAAGTTTTTAATATTAGTTGGGATCAGATATCAACTGATAGTATTACAATATGGTGGAATAACACAGCGGTATGTTAAGGTATTAATTCTAAATCATTAATATTATCTAGGATACATCACACTATCCTCCAGTACATTACATTGTTAGCATACACAATAATACTATTAATACAACTGATACTAATGTAACTATTAATGGACTATATCCCAATAATGAATATACTATATGCATACAACCAGTTAATGCCATTGGAAGGGGACAACTGATTAACATCACAGGTTTGTTTATTATAAACTGATGAGTATATTTAGTGTAGTGTGTCTAACCTTTAGTCAACATAACTGATCAACAGTCCATTTTAACAACAACAACCACTTTAACTGGTTAGTACAACATAATATAGAAACGTATATACAAATGTCTACTACATGTGTAAATTATACCTAATGCTTTCTATTTCATATTTTTATAGTTTCAGTTATTGAGAGTTTATGTGATACCATCATCAGTAGCAGTGATGACAGATCCACTTCAACTTCAATATCTCTGACAATCATTGATAATACATTAGTATCAGAAACTTCAAGCAGCATAAAACCATCAACAATATCAAGTTTGTACTAAATACATTTTATATTATAATACTAAAATCTATTCAGTGCAATGCTATCTTACTAACTGATATTTTATTACAACTTGTAAGCACCTTGAAATTGTCCAATATTTGGTGAAATGATAAGTTGCTATTGCCTAGGTTTTGTTTATAAATGGCTCCAAAATCACTTCAAATTTTTCTGATACATATTTATGCCCTTATGCTATGTAGAAAGTTTGAGCTGCTTCTGACTTCAATTTTTTGACTTATGGCAATTTTTTAAAATGTTCAATTTCAGGAAATCATCCAAGGCTATAGCCCATTGTTTTTTTTAAATGGCTCCAAAATCACTCCAAATTTTTATTACGTTTTCTGATACATCTTGATGTACTTATGCTGTGTAGAAAGTTTAAAGGAATTCTGACTTCAATTTTTGGAGTTTATCACCATTTTACAAGTAATAATTACATAAATATGGTATAATTTTGGAGGGAATTAAATTTGGCAAATTGGCATTTTAATAGCCATTTGCCAAAATAAATCTGCCATTTTGAACCATTATATGCATGCTCAATGGCACGTGGCCACTAATTTGCCAAATTAAAACTCACCAATCACCAAATTTTAGCAATTCAAAATTTAATTCTCCCCAAAATTTCCCGCTATACAGTAATTATGCGCAAAATATCTATAAGCATCAAAATGACCAAAATATCCTCGCCCAAAATTAGTGATAATAATAGTTTAACAATTATTAGGCTCTACTTCCATCATATCACAGTCAACATGTACAGGATCCATTATTAGTTCTGGTTAGTTAATACATTACTATATGTACATACAGTGTGTATCTACTGTATCTACTATACACACACATTCAGTTGCTATTGCAGTACCTATCACTGGTCTATTAACTGGACTCATTACATCTATAATTACTAGTATCATTGTATACTGTATAATGAAGAATAAAGGGAATACATTAAGAGAAAGATCACCAGTAGACATTGGACCACTGTATGATTTACCAACTATCAGTAATGAACAACAAGAACAAGTCATTGATACTACACCTAACACTGCTTATGGGCAAATTCAATAACACATTAATAATTTTATCTTGGCAGACATATATAAAAAGTAAAAGTACAGCAGCATGACGTACCTTGGCATAGCAACTTTTAAACTTACTATTTTACTATTGGCAAGACAGCCCAATAAACAATGTCTCATTGATTTAGAACAAACAACTCAAATGATAATTTCTATTTCATCTTTGCTGTAATGTATGGTTCAATGATAGAGCAATTGTACATTAAATTTAATATAAAATAACTGGCTCTGCCTCAAGCCATACAAAGTTCACCACAAGAATCATTATCTAAACAAACTAGGCAATTCCAGGAATTATGTACCATCACTACATTCCTAAGTTTAGCTATTTAAAGGAAGAATACATAAATGTACTGGTGATAGATGATATAAGTACAGTAGAAAAGTTTAAGATAAAAAGAGAAGAATTAAATAATGATAAATTCATGTATGGAAGCCAAATTGTATTCAAAAGAATTTAAAGCTATAGGTATCACAATGAACTGAGATTGTATAAAAACCTTTATCATCATTATAATCTATTTTAAGTTATATAGCTAAAACAAATCACAGTATAGTAAACTATTAGCAATAGACATTTTATAGCAGGTCACAACAGTCATTGTGATCACTTTTAATGAATAACCAATTAAATCTCTCTTCTGGTTTCCAGTTATCTCTCAGCTAACATTCAAATTACAGTTAGGTTTGATGCACTTTAATCACACACAAACAGTACAAACATTAATCACTTCTTCAATATAGACAGAACTGTAAAAAGAAGTGGATCACAATTATAAGCATAATCAATAATGTCTAATGTTATAGAGATAACAAAACTCATGAATGGTAATGGCCCCAAAGGCAGACATTGAATTGATTAATAAAAACTAAGCCTCCTATTTCTTAGAATAGCATCCGGCCATCATATGGATTCATGCACCACATAAATACATACTGAACTTCACTGATCGATCATTCAGTCAGTTTGCAATAGAATAATGGTTCGGCTTTTAATGCTACT